TCTCTTGAGAGATTGTCAGCCGCTTGCTCTCTCATTCGTTCGCATTTGAAAGTTTTCAGTGAAATCAGCTGATTTTCCTTTTACAGCAAATATCAGAAGTTGAGCTGATAAAATTAGATCAAGTGGAGCAGCTGACAAATTTGTCGAGGAGAATACTGTTGTTGTTGTTGTTGTTATTTCCTTTGATTTCTGTTGCGTACACATTTCCTTCCGTGTCCCAACCAGAGAACTAAGATCAGAAATGACATTTTCCACTGATCGTTTTATTTGGAAAAAAAAAAAAAAGGAAAAAGAAAAATACAAAAACATCCTAAAATCACACACATTTTATATAGATAAAGCCCTTCGTAATGTGTAAGTTGTATTTGTAAGTACAATTTTTGTATTTCTTTAAGGCATAGGCTACCAGGAATCCCTTTAACGAGTCTATCTTTTCCAATCAAACCGAAGGCTCCAAATACAATTCGAATTGTTGATGTCTTCATGTGCCACAATGTTTCACATTCTTACTTCAAGATCTTTTTTTTGAAGATCTTCAAAGATCTTATTTTAAAAAATTAATGTCAGTTTATTATTTCTTTTTCTTGATAAAATTGTTTATATTTAAATTTTTAAGATGCGGAATTATCATAACGAGTAAGTACGTTGGAAGATTTCACAGTTTTCCAATTGTAATTTTCTGATGAATTCTAATCGTTAAGTTAACAATAATACAACTATAAAATACGAGCGCTATCAATAAGTATCGGGGCTATGTCTCTATTATAACGTTTTCACTCACGTTCATTTTTTATAACAATGCTTAGAAGGAAAGTGTGTAGAGTGTAGCCGTCTCAGCACACCAGAGAGTTTCCACCAGTGACCATGGCTTGTGCAGCAGTTTTAGTCCCAATTCATTATCCCGTAGGACCGACAACCAAGATATTCCTCAGATCTTGCACCTTGTTACTGCTTTCTCTTTCCAAAACTGAAAGGAAAAAGATTTCAAGATGCTGAGGAAATCCAAGAGAATGCCACAAGGACATGAATTTGTGAAGAACCATGATCACTTACGTCCTGAAGGCTTTATTGAAAAATAAAATGCCCCGCAGGTAATTTATCTGTGGAAATGCATCGTAAATTATTTTACTATAGATGGATAGCTGAAGATAAATGTGTTCACAATCAACGTCAACCATGTGATTTCAGGAGCCGAAGTCGGATTCGGTGATACCCAGGTGGAGCAAGAAACATCAACTATTGAGATAGGAGCAGACAGCTTCCTGAGACTTTCTAGGTTTTCCCTGAGACGCTGCATGCTTTATTCAAAAACTGCTATCATGTAGCTTACCTTGAACGCATCAGACTCGGCCGGAACTTGATCTCGGCTTGCTGATTCCAATTCCCACGCTGATAACATTTATGCCACCTGCACAAGTGAAAGAAACATTCAAAATGACTTAGTCGAAGAAATAATTATAACAAGACAAATACTCATTGAACTCAAGTGTGACGATGTCCCGATATCATATTAGTTGGGTATGTGGCTGCTGCTTTCTTGTTTAATCACCAAAGTCTTTGTACAAATGGTGATCGGAATAGTCTCTTGAAATAGTGTTTGGTATTCTATGTCGTCGTTCGGAAATTGTCTAGTCGGTTGTCACTTTCTGTTGAAACTTGACTAATGCATGGAATAATAATGCAACACAAAAGGTACTTAGAACAAAATGTATTGAAACAAGAAAGTGTACACAATATTTACATATAGTCTTTTGTATATTCCTGGTAAGACCGTTCCTGGAGAATGTGTTGACTGAGTCGCAGTCGGGCAGAATCTCTGGTTGAATCTCTTGATTCCTCCCTCTCTTCCCGGTACCAACCATATTTATATGGTCGGTACTCCACTATGCAAATTAGGTGGATCCTACCACAACACTTTCGTTTCCACAGTTTCCTTGGGATTAATATACTAAAGTTGGTCTGTCTCTTGCTGAAAATCATATCTTTTCACCAGGAGAGAGATTTTTTTTCGTGGGTTCAAACAGTGCAACGCATATATTCACTGCTTTTAATGGCCTTAGTAAGGAACTGCTAAAACTATTTTTCAGTGAAGGAGAGAAAGTAAATGAGAGAGCGACATAAAATTTATTTTTTTGTTAGCTCATTTCTAGCAGCTTCAGGCCCGTTTATTCGCTAAGAGGCAAAAATTATCGCTGACCAATTTCAGACTGAAACTATTTCGCATATTTTATGATTTTATCCTTAACAATTCACGGTCGAATGAAAAAGCATTTAAATTTACTTCTTTAATGAACGAAACTTTTTTTTCTTATCTTGTCTTTGTTTTTTTTTTGCTGAATAATGCCAGTTTCAGTTCGGATTTACAAACCTTATCACAGTATGACACGTAAATGCGACTATGCGTTAATTGCTATCAAAACACTCAAACTTGTTTTATTCTGATACCCGAGAAAAACTCTCTACCATTTATTCGTCTATTTTACTTCTGGTGAAAAAACAAAACAAAACATTTATTTATTAAATAAAGTGGGAAATTATTTCAAGAACTGTTTCCGACGGGAACTACTTGCTTTCTGTGAATGTACATATATCCGATTAATAATGCAACAAAGAAAATGCTTGTTACTCGAACCTTAACTTCTGTTTCGCACTATGTGTCACTCACAACAATATTGACATTTTAAATGGAGTAAGCATGTAATACTTCTGATGCTCAGCTGCCGCTTGTCATTGTCCTTCTGATTTTCAGTGAACAACGCAACGAAAATTTGTCGAAATCGTGTAAAAAAGAAAAAAAGAAAAAGAAACGAAGAAGTTCAGTCGTTTGATCAATGTTCAAATGTTGGTTGGTCGTTTGAAGTCATTCGTAGATTTACCCGGCCTCCTCACCAAAAGGTCGTTTTAATGTGGGCAGCGCTGTATTCTTACTTATGCATATGGGCCACTGACAAAAATTGGTTTTTGCCCAGCCTCCGCGACCAATATCATGTCGGCATCGGCATTATACCGACTCAACCTCATTAGTGCAATGAGGAAGGTGCTGCCACAGGGTTGGAATCCCCGGGGCTAAATAACCTCTCCCATCTAAAATGAGGAAAAAAATAGCTCCACTTACATGACAGGTTACGACAGCCATGCCTCAGTAAACCCTCATTGGCAATAGTTAACTCCCGTGCCAAGTAATTATTATTTACCTTGGTCTCCCCACTGAAACGAGATGTGACAAAACGTCGTGCATAACTTAAGCGCATACACCCGGGTCAAGGACAAAAATTGTCCAGCTCCCGCAACCGTCGGTTGAGCTGGCATCGGTATGACAACCGATCCCCCTTCTTTAGTGAAGTGGGTGAGTGCAGCATCAGGCAGCTGTTTCCCGCTACTGGGCAGCTCACTGTATTTATTTTCCTCCGAAGACAGAGACACATCTGAGTCGCATTCTGTTCGAAGACAGAGACGCAACTGAAGAGATAATAAACCCTACCCGTCATGTAAGTATTGTTTCAACTCCTGGGTATCAGATATTTATGTGTCGTATATTTCCAACAACACGTGTGGGTCGTTTGTTAAGAGATGTTTTTTCTCTTTGCAAGTAGTTACAAGATCAATCCATTTTAAAGTCTAACGGCCGGATCACGTTGGAACACAGATTCCCGTACTTTCACCAAAGTTAAGCAATGTCGAGCCTGGTCAGTACCTTAATGAGTGACCACTTGGGAATATCAGATACTATAAGATTGGATGTTCGGTTGGTGTAATGGATAATAGCTCGGAGAGTCGGGTTCTAATTTCTGTTGGGTTCGTTATATTCACTTACGGGAAAATAATCTTTGGAAAGGCATGAACCCACCTCTTCTTTTCGTTTAATTAGTAGGAATTGTATCAGTAAATCACTATTATCTCCAAAAAGGAAAAAATCCTACAATGTAAAAATATTTTTGCCCTTAAATAACCAGCAAAGGGTTGATAAGCCGTAGTAAACGAATCAATCGATCATTTTTAAAAAAAATATAACCTTAAACATTAAACTTATGGAAAGGTACGCATAACGTTACGCAAGTATGCAAGTGTAGTTTTATATGCAAAATTTCTAGTTTTATTTGGAACGTATTTTTTTTTAGATTTGGTGAGTAGAATCGATCTCGTTGAATCAAGATAATTGATATCGCGTCTAAAATGCAAATTTATACATAAAAATAAAAATAATATTTGCTATAATCCAGAGTAGTCTGTACTTTCAAAATAACACGTTTTCAAGCAGATTTTTCCATTTGAAAAAGAAGAGTAAGAAGACGAATATTGGAGAGTAAGGAGAATAAGGGAGGTGAGCTTTAGGATAGAAGGCGAAAATGAAATCAATAAATTAGAATTCTTTTCTACTTTTTGCTCCAATTCTTAAGTAAATACGAATGTTTCGTCTGATGGATTCTATTATGTCAGCACCAAAAAAAAAAAAATAAAATAAAAATAAATAAACAAATATATATATATATATATATATATATATATATATATATATGAAAATCTAGGACATCATTGCTTCAAAGAAATTGAAAGAAACGAAAGTCGGAAAGAGATTTTAAAAATGAATTTCTGAGAGAAAAAAATTTAGAGTTAGGAAAGTGAAAGAAGAAAGAACGAATTTGTTGGGGATGCTGAAAGGATAGATAGTAAGCCATAGAAATAATATTCATAGAAAGTGAATAATAAATAAATTACTATTTAGGCTTAAAAGAAAGTAAAGAAGAAAATGATTGATTTATTTATTCCGTTTTTTACGGTTTATCAACCCTTTACATCTTATTTAAAATACTTTTAGATTCTAAGAATATTTTTTGTGTGGCTTATAAACATTTAGTGATAGAAGTCTTACTATTTAACCCATAGTATCCCCAAGTGTATTTGCACGTAAGTAAATATAACGAACCCAATGGGAATTTGAACTCTATTCTCCGATTAACAATTCTAAACCAATATCCATTACACCACCTGCACATCTAAGTTTACAGTACTTCGTATTCTCAAGCGGTCACCCACCTAGATACCGACCAGTCTTGACGTTGCTTAACTTCGGTGATAGTACGGGAACCAGTGTCTCAACGTGATATGGCCGTAAGCCTAAAGAAATTGAAATAAATAAAAGTAGGAAAGAAATTGTAAAAATTAATTCCTTAAAGGAAAAATGCACAGAAGACGGGAGGAGAAAAAAGGACGAATTTTTTGGCGAAAAGTAATAATATTTGTTGGTTTGTTTTGTTTTACGGCATATCAATACCTCAATGGGTTATTTAATGCTGACAAAATTTTTATTGCTAGTAATATTATTTTTCAAAAAATATTGATGGTAATAATTTTTTCTTCAAAAATTATTTGCTGGTAATATTTTTACAAAAATGTACTGCTATTATTAAAATATATTTTTACACTTTCATAGTCTTTTGCCCATAGCTGGGACCCTAACAGGTGCTACCACCCTGGGTCATAGCCCGGACAGAATTATATTCGGAGGTGGCGGGGGGTGAATGATAAATGAATATTTTATCTATAGAGAAAGTAAAGAAGTAAATAAAAAAAATGTAAATTGCTAAAGAAAGAAGGAAAATAAGGAGAAAAAGAAGGAATTAGAGGGGTGCTGAAAAATTAATAGTGAACGAAAGAAAAATGTCGGAGAAAACGAATGTTAAATAAATATTTAAGCTTAAAAAGGAGAAAAAAAATGAAAATTAATTGAAAAAAAGAAGAGAAAAAAGAAAGAGAAAAGGAAATATCTAAATAAACAATCGAACTAAAAAATGTAAAAGAACTTTTTGAAAGAATGATAAAGAAAGAATAAAAGGAAAACTCGAGAGAGACGTTTGTGAAAGAAAGATAAAAGGAATTTGGTATGAAGACTGTCGATGAAACCTTGGACTGATCAAGCAACAACGATTTATTCGACTTTTTTTTTACATGAACGCATCAAAGAAAGATGAACTGATTTACGAATTGAAGCTTACTTTAAACTTGTTTAAAATATGATTGCAAATTTAACTTTTGAGCTCGAAAGTAAATTTTAAAAAGACAAAACAGAAAGGCAAGAAAAATGTTGGTACAAACAAGTTTTTTTAAAACGTGATTTTTAATTCGATATATTTTGTTTAAATCACATTCATCCTGTAATAATTATAATTATAAGAATAATAATATCGTTTTGTGTGCAAAAAAACAGCCTTGAAGGGATTCAAATGGAAATTGCATAATTTTGGATAAGAAGGCGGAGCAAGTGAAAATTACAGTGGTACCAAGACCTGGCAGTGCAAATCGGAGAAATACACCAAGTAGAAAGTCAAGTTGTCTTTTTTGGGACCATTTCCAGGGATCTTTCTGCATGGTTAATACGTCTTGGGGATACCACATTGGGGGTGCTCAGGTGGAAGCGCTGCTTGGAATAACTGATGTGTTGATGGAAGTCTTTTGCCTCCAAGCTGCGGGTTGGAGCTAAAATATGACATCATTACTCGGTCGAAACAGAACCGAAGAGGCCTTCAAAGTATATACTATTAATAAAATAAGATAGAAAATACGATTTCTATGGCTTTTAAATAGAGTACGGTCACTTATACTTAACATCAGAAAGAGACAAAAGGTAATGTATGTGTTGTTTTTCTCTGTCAGTTTTGCCTTCAATCTATCCTGTGAGTGTCAAATTTCCCAAGCCCTCTTTCCCCATTATGCGCCCTAGAAATTTCAAATGTCTCTTTCTGATGTTGTTACGCACATATTCACTTCATAGTATTCTCATCATCCTTCTGTAGTACCACATTTCTGTTGCCTCTTCATCTGTGAGAAAATTGTCCAGCATTATCTGCTAAATTGATAGTTTATAACAGGTTTATACTTTTTCTTTGTTTCTAACGAAAAATTTCTGCTTAATATTTGCTTAACATTTCGAAGCTATTACGATGCGCCTTCGGATTTCAGTCACACTTTCTGTCTTCTGTTAAAACACTTCCAAGATATTTAAATTGTTGTACGTGCTTGATTTTGGCGTCTCCAATTCGTTATTTTGCATGTTGGGCTGTCCGTTTTGCTAGCAACCATTCTGTCTTGTACTGATGCCTAATAAATAAACAATATGTAAATGAGAAGAGACACACTGAAATATTGCGTATATAATGTTTGCCTTTCAGCAGATTTTTAGATTTAAATACAAAAGGGAATAGATTTAATTTTCATTCTACAGGCGCTTTCAACAGCCAGATAATTAATTTTTGTTTTTTTCAACTTTTTTTTTTATAGAGGAAGGCTTTGTTAAATCAATTTGTTCTTATCTGCATTTTTTCTTGAATATTTTTTTATCTTATAGCGAAAGAAACACCATATATAGACATAGAAAATGTATTATATTAGATTGTTTCGGAAAACAATTTCGTGCTTTTAAGAGAGGAAATAAAAATTCCACTTAATTTCCTTTTTAATTACCGTGTTTCCTTGTGTATAATACAACTTGAGTATAATACGAACCCGTTTTTCTGAAGCTAAAAATAAAGAATAGATAACATCCTTGACTATAATACGACTCCATAGTACAAACATCTCTATGTAATTTTTAAAAAAGTTGTACCATATCATCTATTAAAATTTCAATGTCGTGTATATAGGGTGGGGCAAAATGAACTGACACATTTGTAGGTTTAATAAAAGCGATAAAAACCAAAAAAATGTGTTTTTATTTTCGAAATGTCCATATAATGCCATTTTGTTTCCTTTGTTTTTGAAAATTAAATCAGTCAAGTGGGTGACGTTACTTTCCACACACCGTCAAAGGTATTCACAAAAGTTGTCCATAATTCGACGGGCCATTTCATATGGAACGGCAGCTGTTTCTTGACAAACAGCATCTTTTAATTGTTCAATAGATCGAGATATATATGTTATTTATATAGACATAAATATTTCAGTAAATGCTCTGTTTATAATAAACAGCATTAACCTGTTTGAACGTCCGAGAAATTTCATAGAAAATATGCGTCCTCCGACGGGAATCGAACCTGTATCCTACACGGAACCGTCATATAGCCTGAAGTACTATACCAGTTTAGCTACGAAGAAGCATCTGGTTAGCAAGGCCGATTTTACTGCTTTTAAACTACAAATTTCCCATGATTGCCTTGAACGTCCATATCTGCTGTATGTATCTGGTATAGCACGTCAGGCTATATGATGATTCCGTGTAGGAAATTTACATTTCGAAAATAAAAACGCATTTCACGTTCTTTACTTTATTTCGCTTTTATTAAACCTACAAATGTGTCAGATCATTTTGCCGCAATCTGTATATTACATGAAAATATTTAATTTTTCACGATAATATTATATTAGGTCGGCAGGAAAGTCATGACTCACTCAGGAAGTGGAAAGTAACCAAGAAATCTTGATCTCTGCCTGGTGGAACTTCTAAAGAGTATTGTATTTCGAGCTTGTTCCACACGGTCACGCCATCAACGCTAAACTCTATTGCCAGCAGCTAGACAGCGCGTACGACAAACTAAAGAACGAGTATCCTGCTTTGTCCAATCGAGGTCGGCCTTTGTTTCAACAAAACAACGTGAGGCTACATACTGCCAGGTTGACTAAGGAGAAATAAGGTTAACTAAGGACATTCTCCCACATCCATTCTCAATGTTGCTCCGAGTGACTCTATTCCGCTTAATGGCACACTTCCTCCGTGTCATTTTATGAAGTCAAGGAAGCTTGTTTACAGTTTTTTGATTCAAAGCCAGCGGACAGATATCTGGAACAGATTAGTAGATGTCTGATCGCTGGCAGAAGATCGTCGAAATTTATTTTATTTTGAAGAATATATGTTGATACATAAAATTTTGTTTCTTTTCTGTCGCTTCCGAATTGAGTCAAGACTTTCTGGCCAACTTAATATTTCTATATATTAATAAAGTCTGAAAATAAAAATGATAGTCTTACATTAAGTATGAAGAGAGAAACAAATATTGCCGACATCTCAAAAACTATTTCTAAACAATTGTTATCAACACCTGCCTATTTTGTGTTTTATTATCTCTTGTGCTGAAGATATTTGCAATAATACTGTTTCAAATGAAAACATGTACTTGTGTATAATACGCATCCCCTTTTATGTGTTTAATTTTCGTTCAACATTTCTTGTATTATGCCACAAGAAAATATGGTATGCCTATTTTGATTGCATTAATTAAAATTTGGACACTAGTAAGATTTATATTCATTTTTATTTTCCAGGGTATGCACACACTATGTGGAAAGACGATGACAAAGTCGTTTTGATTTATTGCCCTGAGTGGTACGACCTTACCGATGCAAGTAAGTGTTATTTTCATACATTATTTTCGGCCACGACATTTGCTGGTTAAGAAAGTATTGATTAATTCTCATTATTTTCGTTCCAGCCGCCAATGATGAGTTGGGCTATTTTATACTGACGGCATAGATACACGTCATTGGGATTAGAATGATCTTTAACAAAAAATCAAAATTCTTTACGAATTGTTCTAAGTAGGACTTAAAATAAACCTAAAAAAATATATATATGATTCGTGATTTGTTATTTTACGATTAATAATCAGCCTTTTGTTGTTTATTTAAAGACAAAACAGATTTTGAATTGTAAGAATAATTATTTATTTTTGAGTGAATATTGCATTAACGTTATTTTTTCAGGGTAACAAAGTATATGGCAGATAGAAATCCTACTATTTAACCAACATCTTCTCCAATTTCTCATTTTGAGCCAATATCCGGTACACCGCCGGCACATTCACCCAGAAACAATTTTCTAAAATTGAAATGAGAACAGAATGCAATATCTGTGTATATACGTGGTAACGGAGGTATGAGTTCTGAGAAAATGTTTCTACATGGTTGATGGTTTAGACATTTCTGAACCAGTGTGGACATCATTTTGCTTGACATTCTCTTTGTGACAGAAAGAAATTAGTTGACGGTGCTTACAAGACGAAAGCCTCTTTGGATAAAGTGTTTTGTAAAATACTTTTTATATAGTGGCTTTTTCCGAGTACACTGATGTTTTTTTTTCCTCGGACTAGTAATGAACGATTTAAGAAACAAAGCAAAAAGAAAAAACAAACAAAAAAAACAAACAATGTAAATGAAATGACAATGATGGGATTGACCGTTACCATTCGGGAAACATTTGGCATTCATTGAACGTGACAGCGTTATAAATCTCTAAAATCTTTCTCTTCAAACAGTTTTTTTTTTCCAGGCAAGTCTTTTGACAGGATACATTCGCTTGAAGCCATTATTAATCGCTCATCTGAGAAAACCATGGCGGATGATTTAGGCATTTCTGAACGAGTTGGACCTTATGCTGATTGATATACTTATTGTGTCACTTCAATGTGGTGTAATGGTTAACAAGCTGGTTTCGCTAGATCAATTACAACTGAAAAGTGATTTCGATTCGTTCCCCAAAACCTTAGGCCTTGTGCCACATCTGAGCTTAGAAATTCACCATGGTCATTGTGCCAGAAAGAAAGAAATACTTAGTTTACGCTGCTTACATTGGATACGAGATTATGGGTTCTGTAAAGCAGTTTTTCAATCCAATAAATTTCTCAAGTCCACTATTATCGATCTTTCTAATATTGATGGTCGTTTCCTTCCTAACCCTTTGTTTTAGTGGCGAATGTCAACATTTTCATTATGCAATTATTTTCTCTTAGAATTATATGTGCTATCCATTTTCGTTCTTGCTGCTGCTGAAAGTCTCTAAGCGATGCGATTTCTGTTATTTTGTAAAGATATTGGTTTGTGATGCTGTAGCGACAGCTTACGAAACCCGAAAAAGGACATTCTCGCTCAATATCCCCAGGTTTCTTTTGCTTGAGGCCATTTTTAATCATTGATCTGAGAAAAAAGTTGCATATCGTTGTTAGTTTAGACACTTCAGAAGGTGTTGGACGCCATGTATGACACCCAAATGAGAGTCTACATCCAAGCGTGCCATTTTAGGACATGATTCGAGTTCTTAGGTCAATATTTCGCCTTTCTAACATTGGAAAAACATACCTAGCGTGGCCTACTCTATGTTAAATATCTTTATCAACTATACTAATTTTTTATAATTGATACATACACCGAGGTATTTGTAGTGTTTATGAATTCGTGGATGTTCGTACATGTTCGCAGACTGTAAAAAATAACAACATTCATTAAAAATACAAATATTTAAAATGTCGCCATTTTTGACGGTATTAGTAAATCATTATTATATAATAACTGAAGTAAATCCGGAAACAAATTTTCTCGTTAGAATCCATCTTGCACGTTTATAAATCTACCATTCGTCCGTGCATTGAAAAATTGTTTCCTCATCTGTTGCTCCTGCTATGTATATCGAAATTCTTGATAAAATCCAAAGAAGAATTTGTCAAGTTATCGGTCTTAATCTGGCAACTCGGCTTCAGTGACATTACTACCGCTGTAACGTTGCTTCCCTGTGTTTTTTTTCTCTAAGAATTTTTTTAGGGCCATTTTTCTAATGAGCTTTCTTCTTAGGCATTTCGATAGCGCATGAATTTAAGCCTAGTACTAAATTAGCAAGTAGGGATCATCATTTTACTGTTGAAATGGCATGATGCAACCGTAAGTTCTATTCTAACAGTTTCTTCTCTCGCACTTCTCACCTATCGGACTTTCTTTTGGCTTCTTACTTTCTTGTAAACAACGATCTTCAAAAATTTAGGTGCAACATCAAACGCAATCGTCTGTTTTCCTGTTTCCTATTCTTTTACTGCCATTTTTTTCTCACTCCCGTTTTATCTATTTCTTGCTTGGCGTGATTTTTTTAAAATCATTTCATCACAAACATGGTGGTAATGCCACGAGTAAGCAGGGGGTTACAAAGAGTGACGCTGAGAGAAAAGATAGCGATTGACGTTGCATTTAAATTTTTGAAGACTGTAGTTATCAGGGAAGCAAAGGAACGGAAGGCGGGAAGCGCGAGAAAACAAACTGTTGGAGTAGAAGAGGCGATTATATTTACCTAATTCAACAGTAAAATGGTGGGACCTAGATGCCAACCTAGTAGCACGCTTAAATTCACACAGTCCGGGCACCAGTGTAAAAAAGCTCATCAGAGCAGTAGCCATGAAAATATTTGTAGAAAAGACAGAGAGAAGCCAAGCTACGTCGGTGAGAAAGTGACTGAAGTCGAGGTGCCAAGTCAGGATTGATTATATTACAGATCCTTCTTTGGATTTTGTCAAGAACCCAGGGGTGAGTATCAGGAGCAGATATGGCAACAGTATGCAATGCACGGACTAATAGTGGATTTGCAAGATGGACTCTGACAGAAAAAAAAAACCCTTCATACATGACACAATAAACCAACATTCTTTCCAGTCGATGCAGCTCTTGATTCAATCGAGTTGTTCCACTTCAAGTCAGTTGAAAAGGTGAGACCAAAAAGACGCAATGAAACGCTCTCCTGTAGTCGAGCATCAGCCATGTTGATGGTGGACAGGGAAGTTTCTTTATCGTGGTTAAATGAGAACAGTTTAGTTTTGGAGGCATTAAAATTTACGAGCCATTTCCTGTCCCAGTTAATCACTGATTTGAGGTCCATTTCACGAGCATTATTAAAAAAGATAAATAAATAAAAACCCTATCAGGTGACAATGATCGGATAAAGTAACAGAGATAATGACGAGAGTTTGAAAAAGCATGGAATCTCCTGATTATACAGGATGCGGCAGAAATACCTCCCACATCACTATCATGGCTTGGACCGGTGCAAACTGTGAGTTTGCTATTGAAACGATTTTTTTAAACTGGTGAATCTTTTTTTGACTGTTGTAATTACAACATAGAAAGCTTTTCGTTCGCTTTTCATATTACGTCGGAATGATGCTGTTCCATATATAAAATCGATACTGCAGTGGGTTTGATATTTTCAAGGGTCAATGGTTCAGCGCTTAAAAGAAAGTCATCTGGACAACATCGAAGGGCTTGAAATTCCGGTTGCAAGAAGACATGACACGAAGAAGAATGAGAATATATGGCGAAAATAAAAGAAGAAGACATGCCAAGGATGTAGAAGGTACTTCTACCTCACCTTGTATATTAATGGAAACAGTTCTCTTCTCTCTCAATAATCATGTACATTTTCTCAGTTATATATTAACGTATCATTTTTCTTTCTGCCCAAAGTCTTACTCAGGCTTCATCGCAGAAGAAACGAGCATATCAGATCTCTCTCATTTGTCTTTCTGCAGGCGTGAAAAATCTTTTGAATTATAGCTTCATGTCTGCAAGAGACATTAGCGGACACCGGAGGAGATGTTAATGATAATTTTTTTTTTCTTTCGTCGCTGTTGTCTCTTTAGCGTGACACATCTTTTGTTTTCTGACTTGAACACATTCTTTCGTACACATTGATTAGTAAATCCGCAGGAAGTCTGTTTCTGGCTCGAATGCGAATAATTAAATACACCGTAATGCGAAGGCGAATGGGAATAGTGAAAGATGCCTTCTAAAAGTTAAGCAAAGCATTAAGAAACAGGAAATTTTCGTTAGAAAAAATAAAAGTACTGAACTGTTATATAATATCGGTCCTCCCATATAGTAGTGAATTCTGGACAATCTCTTGAAAGTTAAAGAAAAAGCTAGTAGCAATAAAAATATTGGATCTACAGAAGGATGCTGAAACTACTATCGACTAATAATGTGAACATGGACGTTTTAGGGGAAATGGAAACAAAAAGTACGCTTATATTCTCCCTATAGATTCTTTACAAATATTTATAATGGAAATTGTTCTGATGAGATTTCATCTTTGGTAACTGGAAATCATTAATTTAAGAATAATACTACATGAACACCTAGGTCCCGGCATTTTACTGTTGAAATTTCTAAATTCTATTCTAACAGTTTCTTCGACTGTATTTCTTATCTATCAAAAAAAAGAAGGTAATTTTTTTTCATAATACTTGACGTTAGAATAAGAAGATACGGCACAATGAAGAAGAAGAAGAAGAAGAAGAAGAAGAAGAAGAAAATATGGCAAGAAGATATATCATGAAGACATGGCAAGAAAGAAGACATGGCAAGAGAAGAAGATATAGCAAGAAGAAAACATTGTAAGAAGAAGAAAAAAACATTGCCAGAAGACGTAAGAATAAGAAGATACGGCACATTGAAGAGGAAGAAGACAGGGGAAGAAGAAGAAGAAGAAGAAGAAGAAGAAGAAGAAGAAGAAGCTAACATTCTTGATTTGCATTGAAAGAAGAAGAAGAAGAAGAAGCATTATAAGAAGAAGACTACATTGGTGAGAAGAAGAA